GGGGGTGATTTCTCACTTTCTGTCTCTCTGTCTGTCTCTCTGGCGAGTGCATGTTCCCTATAGCAAAAATTGCTCTTAAAAAAAAAAAATCAGTGCTTGAGTTTAAAGTCCTAGAATTGACAGGAAACCAAAACCAGCATTAGTAGATCACCCTCCGAAAGCAAGGTCACTATTATCATTGAGATGCACCAGGATTTCCTCCAGATTTGTTTTTTAAATGGGAGGAAGCAGAATGCTGTTATATGAGAATTAATAATACCAAGGACAGATGATGGCGTGACAAAAATGCAGCAATCTGGGGTGCTTGGGTACACCTGGGAAAGCAGTGGGTTTATACCCTGAGACCTCCCTACCTGTACCCGTGATCTAGGCTAGCTGAGGATGGGGGTCAGCTGCAGTGTGGAGACCCTTTTTGCAGGGGTGTGGGGAGGGTGTCTGTCTCTGTGTTGGAGAAATAAATAAACTTTAAAAAATTCATATAAAAAATTAATGATGCTTATAACATTTTGACCTAACATGCCACTTTCTCCTGGGAAAGAATATTAAATTAATATCCAACTTGTTAAGTTACAGGATTAACCAATAAAGTTACTTGTGACATAAGTTCTCTGCTTTTTACAAACTGCAGGTAATAGGAAATGCCTTGTTAATACCACCAATTTACGGCTTGTGATATTATATATATAATCTCACTATATTAATATATATAATCTAACTATATTAATAGTTCTGTGTTATTATACGAGAATCACTAATGAAGTCAGTCATCTATTTAGATTTTAGACATTTGGCTAAAAACATAACTCAAAATGTTCTTGTAAACTGAGTTTCTTTTCTCTTTGAATATCTTCACTGGCCCAGTCTAGGTGGCATATATTACTAAGACACTGCTCTTCAGGCTAGGATCACATGGGAGGCCCAGGTTCAATTCCTGGTCCAACCTAAAGGTTTGGTGTAGGGGCGCACACTTTGTAATCCCAATCACTTGAGATCCGAAAAAAATATATAATAACCAATATATCTACAAATATCTATTAAAGAATTTTAAGTGCTTCATCTGTAAGGAATAAAAGCTTTATTTAGAGTCTTAAGAGGATTGCAATCTGGGCACTGATAAATTAAGCTAGAAAACTGAATTAATGTTCCAAAAGTAAAAATGGAGGGGAAGTCTTTTTATATGTGAAAAATTGTAAATCACAACAAGATAATTAGGTTTGTCATAGACTACCGGGAATTTTCAATGATGTTATCTACAAATAGAGGTGATTTTATTTCTTCCTATCCAACCTGCATAGTTTTTGTTTTTCTTACTTTAAAGCACAGCTAGGACTTTCAGTGTGCTGTTGAATAGGAGTGGTGAGAGAGGACATTCTTTCCTCATTCCTGATCTTAGCAGGGGAAGCATTCAACCTCTCACCTAAGTATTTTGCTAGCTGTAGAGTTTGTTTGCTGGGTTTGTTGTCATTGTAGTTGTGCTTTATCAGGTTACCAATGTTCCCTTCTATTTTTGGTTTGCTGAAAATTGTTACTATAAATGAGTGTTGAGTTTTGTCATTTTTTGGGGGGAGGGGGCTTTAATTGAGCAGATCTGTGGTCTGCTAGTATGGTGAATTACATTGATTTATGTTTGCATGTTGAATTGACCTTGGATTACTGGGATAATCTCTCCTTGTTTATGGTGTACCATACATTTTATTTATTCTACATTAAATTTGTTAATATATCTTGTTGAGAATTTTTGTGTCTGTGTTCATGAACAGTAATACTCATCACTTCCATTCAACAGAGTGCCAGAAGTCATAGTTGGATCATTTAGTCAAGAAAAAGAAATAAAAGGCACCCATGATTGGAAAGGAAGAATTGAAATTGTCTCTATTTGTTGATGACATGATCTCATATATAGAAAACCCTAAAGCTTCTGCCAAAAAATTATTACACTTGTAAACAAAAATCAGTAAAATTGTAGGTTACAAAATCAACATACAAAGATCAGTAAACACTACAATGAACCATCTAAAAAAGTAATTAAAATAATCCCATTTGCAATAGTCTATGTGTTATTATATACAATATTTACAGTAGTCTTCATATGATATCAATATAGTTGCTCCTGTATTTTAAAAATAAATGTTTTCAAACATATCTATCCCATTCTTTTACTTACAACTCATGTATGTTATACTTGAGGTGAGTTTCTTGTGGCACAGAGTTGGGTCATGTTTTTGTCTACTGCAATCTCTACTGTGTAATTGGTGTGTGTGTGTGTGTGTATAATTATTTTATTTAACTAAATTTATTTATTTATTTAAATTTGACCAGAGAGGGACAGAGTGAAGTATGGGGGCGGGGGGTGCAGTGAGAAAGCACACCACCAGGTATAGGATTCAAACAACAATCAGTCATGTGGGAGTCAAACGCCCTTAACCACCATGCTACCTGCCGGCCCATAATTGGTATATATATTTTAGACCATTTCCCTGTAAAGTAATTATTGATATTACCAAAGATTAAGTCTCCCATTTTATTATATTCTGTTTTTTTTTTTTGTTTTTCATTTCTGTTCTCTTTTTATCTTCATATGGGTTATTTGAGCACTTAATAGTATTGCATTTTGACTTATTTAGATATATTTTGGACATACTGCTTTGCCTAGTTTTCTTAGTGGTTATTTTAGGTATTTCTTTATACATCTGTGTAACCGAGCATAGCCTTCTGTTATTGACGGTTTACTACTCCATGTCGTTTACATCCCTTTGCTCTCACCATTTGAAATATGTGACTGACTGCATCATTTCCTCTATCTACATCATACGCTGTACTAGACGGCGTTAAACTTCTGCTTCAATTATAAAACATGATTAAAGTAACTCGTATAGTTAAAAATTACCTGTTACGTTTACTTCTCTACTTATCCATTCCATTATTCTTCTCTGCTTTCTTTGATTGTTTTCTTTCTCTTTGGAGAACTTCTGTTAGACCGTCTTTAAGGGTAGGTCTCCCAGCAATAAATTCTCATAGTTTTCCTTCTCTTTCAACCGTGGAAGGTATTTTCACCAGATATAGATTCACGGCTTGCATTTCTTTTCTTTCAGCACATGAAAAATGTGCTGCTCTCTTTGGTCTCTGTGGTTTTAGATGAGAAACTATTGTCCCTTGAATTGGTGTTATTTTTATAGGTCATGTGTTATTTCACTTTGGCTGTTTCTAGGAGTGTTCTTTGTCTTTAGTTTTCATAAATTTAAATGTATTGTGTCTTGGTGTAAATTTCTTTGGTTTTATCCTGTTTAGAATTTGCTCAAAATTTTGGTATGTTCCACCAAATTCAGGAATTTTTTTTAGCTATTACCTCTTTTTTTTTTAAAAAAGAATTATTTAACTTTTATTATTATTATTATATTATTAAATTTGCATATGCTCACCAGAGAGAGACAGATTGAGAGAGGGAAAGGGA